GGGGGGAAACAGTGAAATGCCACTGGCTAGAATTTTTTGAATAAGGCTGCATATAAACCAGCAAACTTACCTATGGACACTGAAACACTGACAGAAACAGCATATAGTGGTCTGAAACTGCTGCAAATCAGTCCCTGATGATTCCTGGGAGAGCAAAAATTGTCACTTGATTCTCAAATTTTGAGTAGGAGGACATACATGAGCCTTTCCTGTCTGAGGGATCTTCTAAAGTACTTGAAATCTCTCTGGCTTGATTTGCTTAACACCATGAAGTGGAGGTCACTTACAAATCAGGTTTCTTCTCAAGTGTTTATGAATAACTCCCTTCTTCCCAGGTTGTGGGATGTAATTCTACTAGTTTGCCATTTCCACCTTTGTGAATGAACCCATGAGTCCGTGGGGAGTTTTGAATCGTGTTCTGCCCACAATGCCATGTTCACGGTCAGCTGCTTTTGGCTCACAGTAGCTGAATGCCTCTTGCTTTGACTCCAAGACCTCCATCCTTAGGAGGCAGCTGTTATGGTGCTGGTCTTAAAATACTGGGGGAGAGAGATCTTGAATACAGAACCCGTGCCTTGTGAGAAATGTGTGGAGATGACCGAAACGTCTTCTGATGCCAGATGTAGTTGGCTGTGCTTGTGTTGTTTGTAACTTTTTTGGTGGTAGGTGGCTTAATTTTTAGGCAGGATTTTCAACAGTCAAGGCTGAATGAAACAAGTTGGCTTGAAGTGATTTGGATCTAATCAAACAGTGCAGGTTTTGGGTGTCTGTCATGTAGGTAAATGTTCTTTGAGTCAACAACATTGAGATCAAATGATTTGAGGATGCATACTGATTTTGTTTAATTGCCAGATACTTGTCTTCATTTTGATGTCCATAAACACCCAGCTTCTTGTTTGTGTCAGGCTGGGAGTAGGAGAAGGGAGTGAGAGGATTTGCTCTACAGAGAAGTCAGTGCTGATGGGGGGCCTCAGAAGTAATAACTGTTTAATTTTTCAGAAAAACAAGGTGAATTCTATTCACTCAAAATGAAGCATACTTTTTCTGATCTATCTTAATTAAGATCTAATTGCACACTACCAACTTGGCAAACGTTGTCTTGTTGACTGTTCTCATGCTGTTTAGAAGAAGAATACCAAAAAAACAAAGGAAAAAAATTGGTCTGCTCAGTATTAAATATTTTCTTATATGCTATACTTTCAGATTCTGTCTGATCAATACCATTTGCAAGATGTATTGGAACGGTCTGATCGGGTTATGGCTGTGGCAAAAGACTTGCTTGGGGATGCTCCTCGCACGCGAACAGGTAGACCATCTCATTTATATGTGGTAATACATTTAAGACTATCATTTTTCATAATTAGCCTGGCTTTGAAAGTATTATTTTTGAATTATTCATTATCTAACATAGTAGGATTGATCCTGTTTGCGTTAGATGAAACACAGATGAGGATAACATCTCCCGTGGCAGGGGAGAGCAACTCGTGGCTGGTTATTCTACTGGAATGGAATCTATGGAATATTCTATTCCACTGTGGAATTTTGGATCACTTATTGTGAAACACCTCTACACTCACCATTTCCACAGCCAAGCTACTGGCCTTTACAGAGCACCAGTTTGAGCCACCATAGTAGTTCTCATTCTCATTGCTACATGGGGTTGACTGCTTGCTCTTGGATGTTGTTGAAGATTTATCAGCAATTCGTGAACAAGGCTTTTCCTTTCCTTACTCTGGTTTGTGGGTCGTTACACTGCTGGAAGGCAGGACTGGCTATTTTCATGTGAAATCTTAAACTTAGGTTCTCTTCTCTGTAGGCTGCCATTCTCTTTTGCTTAT